GGGAAAGTCAACGAAACGGTGGAAACAATAAAGACTTCCTCTATTGTTTCCACCGTTTAGATTTAAAAAAAAAATCATATATAACCTGAAAAACTATAAAAGTGCAGGCAGCAATGGTATTCCTGCAGAACTAATCAAGCATGGGGGAGAAGCACTTATAACTCAGATATGTAGAGTACTAAGAAAAATCTGGAAGCAAGAGGAATTATTGGAAGTATGGAGAGAGGCAATAGTGTATTCCATTCAAAATAAGGGAGATAAAAAAGTGTGCTAAAACTACTGGGATACCACACTTCTGGATGTAACATATAAAGTATCCGGCAGTCATAAAGGCATTTAAATGAGCAGGTTGGTGAATACCAGGGAGGATTTAAAGCAGGCAAAGTGGCAGGTCCACCATTAATCAAATATTCGTGTTAAAAATTATTAAGAGCAGTACGTATAAGTAACAGTTAAAGCTTAACATCCTTTTTATACATGCCATACAAGCTTACGATTTTGTGATAAGAACGCGTGTGTACCATGCTCTAAGAGTACTTTTAGTTCCGGAAAAGATGATAAGACTAGTAAAAATGATCTTTATAAAGACCGACAATAGAGACTGGGAACCGGAAGGCGTAAGATGCTATAAACCAGGCATTATATAGTTTTGTTTACATGGATTAAATCTTAAGATTTAATTGTGTTGTTCTTGTTGTAAATATATTTATATTCTACTGATATATTTGTTTTACGATGTTATTTTATTTGCATATTACTATCGATGATATTTACACTACTATACACAGCATAAAAGTAAAAATTTACAAGTTTCAATTAATCAATTTTACTTGATTGATGGGTGCTGTTCTTGTTTTATTTGGTTTCATTTCTTTTCTGTTCTAATATTCAACTGAATCTTATATTATTTGTAGATAAATGTTACACAATCAATCACGTAAATATGAAAATCATTCTTCTGTTTTTCTCATGTCGTACGGAGTAGAGGTGAGCGTTCCTAAAAACCCGCTCAAATACAAAAACATTAACCTTCGTCTTCCCGGGTGGGTACAGTCGTACCCCAGATACACATTTTTTGTAATATTTTTGAAATTAGCGCCTGTTTCGTTTGGCTAATTTTATTTTGTATCCATGAGGGTATTGCAAGTAATATCCTATTCATAAAATCAGTAACGATGTTTCAAATTGAAAACAAATAAATTATGATCGGCTTGGGGTACATTCGTACCCCGCGTGGGAATGTGTGTCATCTGTATTATCGGTGGCTTTGCAAATTACTACGCGCATGTCACAACTCTAAGAACAGAATATCGAAAGAAATGTGATGGTTACACGTATTTAGTTTCCCTGTCGGTAAGTACTATAGTGAAGTCGTTTTACCCTGTCGTATTTCGGATTAACGCCCGAAAAATAATTTATGATTCTAGTTACAGCCACTCTGTTATGCTTTCACTTTTCTACCTGCTTTCTGGTACCGAACCTCCTACTGGTCGGCTGTAGTACTTGAGGATAAATCAGCGCTACCAAAGAAAACCGCTGAGTACCTGAGGCAAATCTGAACAGACACTTTTCTTACTTATGCGACAGGCTCAAACGATCCTACTTTAGTATATTTTTTTACTTAGATTTTGTTATAGTGTAGTGTTGGCTTTTTGCATCCGCCGTACTTTGAAAATGCCAAAAGGATTATCTAAAGCCGAATTAGAGCGATTTACGTTTGCGGAGTCTGACGATAAATTGGAAGGTGATGTCATAGTATTCTCTGAAGATAAAGATAGTGATATGGAGAAAGAAATCATTGAAAAATTGTCTGACATCATTGAAGCCGATAATGAAAATGTTCAGCAAATTACAAACCAAGCAAACGGAATAGAAGAGCTTGTCAATTCATCGAATATATCTTTATGCATTGGTCAAAAATACCTTATCCTCAGACACGAAGAATTGTAAAAAATATTTTGAAGAAACAAACAGCTCTTACTACCTATAGTTCGAATTTTACCACTAGAATTGAAGCATTTTTGTTATTTTTCTCAGACGATCTTTTAGGAATCGTAGTAATTCAAACAAATAATAAAGCCGAACAGGTAAATAGCTTTATTTAATAATAACTATTATCAGTTTGCATCTTACAAATCATCAGATTCGAATTTTTTGTAATATGTTTCAGATATTTTATTCTTATTGTTGATAGGTAATTGGACATAAATGGATTGTATTGTGATGGGTAATTTTTTTAGATAACAAACAAATGGAACGAAACAAATCCAAATAAACCAGCATGTACTTGGCAGCTAAACCGATAAAAAAGAAGAATTATTTGAAATGATGAAAGAACTGGACGTAGAAGCTGGAAAGATAGGCCTTAATATGAATTACAGTAAGACCAAAACTATAACAAATACAGATGAAGACATCATAATGAGAATCGGACAAGATGAAATAGAACAAGTTAAGGATTATATATATATATATATATATATATATATATATATATATATATATATATATATCTTGGTCAGACAATCAGACTTAACAAAGACAAACAGCAAAGATCAAGAGACGAGTTAGACTGGCATGGGCGGCATTTGGCAAACTAAGCTACATTCATAAAAACAAAAGATATCCACAGCATCTTAAGACCAAAGTATATAATCAATGCGTACTCCCTGTTCTTACTTATGGTTCCCAAACGTGGACATTTACAAAAGCAAACATGGACAAAATCATAAAAACCCAAAGAGCAATGGAAAGACAAATGTTGCACATAAGACTAATGGATAAGAAGAGAAACGAGTGGATAAGAGATAAAACAAAAGTGAGGGATGTTAGACAAGAAGTTGCAAAATTGAAATGAAGATTTGCCGGACACAATATAAGACAAAAAGAAGACCGATGGAACAAAATTCTTATAAGTTGGAGACCGTGGGAATATAAACGAAGCAGAGGAAGGCCCCAAATGAGATGGGCAGATGATATCAAGAAGCACGTGGGCTCTAGATGGATGACTGTAGCGACAGACAGAGAAGAATGGAAAAGGATCGGGGAGGCCTATGTCCAAAGATGGACCGAAGAAGGCTAATTAGATATATAGACTTGGCAGCTAACTGATCATAGAGAGATTCGCGCTTATTTAGGACTTCTGCTTATTCAAGGAGCACTTCAAGCTACAAAAGAGCCCCAAAAAATGTTATGGTGTACCGATAAAAAATACGCTAGGCCTATTATTTCGGCTAGCATGTCACGTAATAAATTTCAGTGGCTTACATCATTTATTCGTTTCGATGACTATTCTACCAGAGCCGAGCATAAAGCACATGATAAACTCGCACCTATTAGAGAAGTGTTCGATACTTTTGTGAAAAATTGTACTATGGCATATTCACCTGGACCGTATCTTACCATAGATGAACAACTATGGTAAGATGCTCTTGGGGTGATGCCCTTTTCGTGTGTACATGAAAAGTAAGCCTGATAAATATGACTTAAAGATTTGGCCGATGGCAGACAGCGAAAATGCTTACAGTATGAATTTACAAGTTTATCTTGGAAAAAATAATAACGCACCCGAAAACAATCAAGGTGAAAGAGTTGTCGTTGACCTTATTGAGCCACTTGGCTCTGGGTATGGCATAACTACAGATAAGTTTTTTACAAGCTTACCACTGGCCGAAAAACTATCAAAAAAAGGACTAAGCCTATGTGATACTCTGCGTAAAAATAAAGCATATATTTCCAACGAGTTGCTAACCAAATCGTTAAAGCCTGCTCATTCTAGTATGTTTGCTTTTTTTTTCAAAAGACAATACTATGGTTCGTTATGTTACCAGCAAAGCAAAATCGGTTATTTTATTATCCACTGAACATCATGATGATGTTGTTTCCAATGAAATATTAAATAACAAGCCAGATATTATACTGCACTATAAGCATACACAAGATGCAGTAGATACCACAGATAAGCAATACTCTGCTCGTAGGATATGCAACCGATGGCCAATGGCAGTGTTTGGCCAAATATTGGATATTTCTGGCCTGAACGCTTACATCTTATGGTGTATCAAATACCCGGATTCATCTAGAGAAAAAGATGATAGACGTAATTTTTTACTAAATCTAGGAGAAGTTTTAGTAAAAAAAAATATTACCAGATGATATAATGAGGTAGTACGATTGAGTAAGACGTTCAAACAATACATGCAAGATGTCGTTCTAGAGTTGGCGCTGGTAAAGATGCAAATCGAAGTAGCCTGTGAACTATCTTCAAGTGGACGTTGCTACTTATGTAGTCAAAATAAAGATCGTAAATTAAGCCAATTTTGTAAGCAGTCTAAAAATTTTGTATATGCAGAACACCATATCAAGGAAGTAATTTGCACCCGATACCAAGAAACTTCAGACTAGTTTTCGGTCCTAAGATTTATTTTTTATTCCTACAGTTAATTTAATTAAACGATGAAAATTATTTTTAAGTTCGATAAACCCTTTGATGTAATAAAATTGTGTTAATTTAAGATTTTATTTAATTTTCTTATAATAAAAATTAAATATACGCATTTTTTTCTCTGGGGTACAAATGGAACCCACATGGGACTCCACGTAATATTACCGACGTGAGAAGACGAAGGTTAAGCTACCGTTTGAAGCTTTGCGTCATTATTAGAGAACCTCATAAATTATATTTACTATTCTATTGTTTGATCTCTCAGACTCAAGATTTTTAAATTCACCCTCTTATTGATTCCTAAAAATCGTTCCAAATACCAAGGATGAAAATAGTCAGAAGCAGAAAAAATTTCAGAATATTTAATTAAAAATATTATCTTAATTCTCTCTATCAAAATGGAGTTGTAAAAAAATACAATCCACAACTTATTTCTATTTCAAACAACAGTTAAACACAACAAATGTATCTATAGAAAGCAGTAATTTACCTAAAAACGTCTTAATATTATAGAAATGTAGGAGGGTACATTTATTATTATAAAGGAAACACTTACTTAGCATTTTTGGGAAAAATCTTCTGGCAAATAGGAAAGAATTTACTTTCTGGCTTTTCTGGAACGAGGGGAGTTTGCTCGGCGGTGCAGTGCATCGGGGTGGTGTGTGTGTAACCTGCATTATCGATCTGAAAATTATTTAAAATTAAATAATCAAGAAAACGAATGTTGATAAATGCATTATATTAGGTTATTTCAGAATATTTATAACTTATATTTATAACTTAGTTTGTAGCAATTGGTGTACGTATATTATGTATCAATCTATTTTGGTGCTGAAAGAGAATTTGTTACAGTTATGGTGTAACTTATACAATACGTTTTTATATTCACTATTTCCTAATTATTACGCTTTTCCATTGAGTACATATCAAAAACTACTTTTCTATAAGTTTTTTTTATTCCTGGAAGCGTAATATAATTCATCCAATGATTATATATTTTCTCTATATAAAACACACGAACAAGTTCTCGAACAACTAGAAAAACAATGCGAAGTTTTAAATTCCATAAAAATCAGAAAATTGGAATAATTGGAGCACATCATGAGAGGTGAAAAATACGAACTACTAAGGAATATAATGCAGGGTAAAATCAAAGGCAGAAGAAGCGTAGGAAAACGTAAAATCTCGTAGCTACGCAATCTCCGTCAATGGTTTGGATGCAGTTCAATTGAACTATTCAGTCGTGTAACCAACAAAATTATAATTGCCAGAATGATTTCCAATCTCCGATAGGAGCAGAACTTAAAGAAGAAGAAGAAGCCATTTAGATTAAAACAAAATTGTAACTAGACCCAGAAGTAGAACTCTTCTTCAGTAATATTCAGCAACTCCCATGGGAATATGACCTAGAGTTGGAAAGTAAAACAATAGAAAATCGAAGATAAATATATCATTACTGTAAATCAATTACCAGATGACAAAAGTGTCGACTATTCACTTTAAAAGTGGCCAAATATCTTGTACGACCGATAATATTTCAATCAGACCATAAATAGAGAATAATTATTAAAATAACTTCTAAGGAAATTTTTAGTAAGAATAATAAACATACTAATTGCAGCTTTTATACTAAAGTACGTGCTTAGCATAAAATAAGTTGCTAAAGCATCATGAAGATCCCAAAGCCCAGAAAACTACCGCAAAATGTTTCGTTTATAGGATTATATCACTTTTATCCAGATTGCATCAATTTGCTATTCAGCAAAGAGCACTTATTGATATATTTAGAATAATAATCGATATAAGAAAAATCTAAAAAGTCTACTCTACATCATTTTTGGACTTAGGTCTCATATAGGCATTAGCTATAAAGTGAGACAATACTCTCAGATACTTATCATCATCAACAACTAGCCTCTAACGTCCACTGCTGAACATAGGCTTCTCGTATGCTTTTCCACTTAGTCCGATTTTGCGCCATCTGAATCCAATTTGTAGTCACTCTTTTTAGTTGGGGGTCGACCTCTATTTCTGTTAGCTTGTATTCGGTGTCTCCATTCCAAAATTCTTTTTGTCCACTGGTCATCAACTGATCTTGCTACATGACCTGCCCAATTCCACTTTAGTGTTGTTATCCTTGCAATAACGTCTGCTATTCCTGATATTTTGCGTATAGTAGTATTGGGTTTTCTATCACGTAGAGAAATCCCTAACATTATTCTCTATATTGCCCTTTCCGCAACTCGTAGTTTATTCACTGTTGTTCTTGTGAGTGTTAGGGTTTCTACGCCGTAGGTCATCACTGGCAAAATACGCTGAATAAATACTTTTCTTTTCAGACACATTCGAATCTGAGACCTAAAAATATGCTTCATCTTTCCAAATGCAGCCCAAGCGAGGTTTATTCTTCTTTTCAGCTCGATTGTTTGGTGGTCTCGACTTATTCTGATCTCATGGCCCAAGTATTTATTGAAGTCAACTGTCTCAATATCTTTGTCTTCTACTGAGATGTTTTTGTTGTGGACTAAATTTGTCATAAATTGTGTTTTTGAAAAATTTATTTTAAGACCAACTCTTTTTGTGGCAGTATGGAGTTCTTGGAGCATTATCTGTGCCTGATCAAAGCTGTCTGCAATAAGAACTCATACATCCCGCAAAATATTTCAGAGAGAAACAAGATGATTTTTATTTACAGCTTTGCGATATGACTATAGGAGTACCGCGGAAAACTAGTACGATTCTTTATCCTTTGTATGCATTTTGTTTGTATGTATGTTTGCTTCGCTACGCATGTTAACATATAATGGTGCAATGACTTAACAATTATAATGAACGTATTTGAATGAACAGCAGACCAAATCGTAGACTTTAGAATTTTAGGTTAAAACTAAATTGCTTATTAGTCTTCAAACATATTTCACATTTACTTATAGGCCTACACTTACTGTTTTTATTAAAAAGTAAAAAATATCTGCTATGGTGCATTTAAAAACAACTCAATCTATTAACTATGATACATATTGGAAATATCTTTGATGTCAATCATATTATTGATAGCATTTAGATCTTTTTTATGTAATCATCTCCAATATGCATCGTTTATCGTAATTTTGTTCTTTTTCCAAAATCTATACATTTTCAAAATCAAAGGATTGGCTATTTTCTGGAGAATGTTTGGCTAGGGCCGTTGTGTTTAATCTATTGGTTTGTACAGTATGTTTGTGTACAACAACACTTCTATGCAGGTATTAGTGTATTTGCCCAATATATGTTGAATTACAGTTTTTACAATTTGTTTTATAAATTACATTTGATTGATGATCTTTATTAACCTTTTTTATGTTTTGAAAAATATTTACCAGATATTTTTGATAATTTATGTTTAACATGAGTATTATATTTTGCTATTATTTTTGACATTTGTTCAGAAAATCCATTAATGTATGATAAGGATAATACGATATGATAAGGAAATATAAATTATATTTTTGATTTAAATACAATCGTTTTTTTTTTATTTAAAAAGATTTATAATCTTTAAACAAAAAGTTAAAATGGGATTGATACAAATAATCGTTTAAATAATCCAAACAGAATGTATTACACCCCTGTTACACTTTACATGTCCCCTTGAAGTAACATAAATCAAAAGATGCAAATTGCCATACTCCATATTTTGACCCCATCGATCAGTAGCAAAGAGCAAAACATGTACTTTACCAAACGCATTTAAATTCAGGATTTAGCATAAAGCTTGTTACAACGCTGCAACGATTATGAATAATATAGGAAACCGTAGTTGGAAATGGTTTTTTAGAAATGTTATTGTTTCCTATATTAGCAACCAGATAGACGAAAAAATTGTTTAATACAGTTACTACCCGAACTACGTCTGTTAGTTAAAATATCAACTACTTTCTATTCTTAGCTCTATTTAGGCTATCTTCTTATTCTGTAATCTACAATTACAGGTTAGAATGAGGATAGAGTCTTAAAATCTTGTTGGAGAGTTTGAGAAAAAAAAAGGGAAAAACTAGGTGAAAGATACAAATGGTGGTATGTAGAAGAAAGTAACACCAGGACTGCAGTTTTTATAATTGCTGATAAAGAAATAAACCCTAAAATTTTATATATTCTAGGCAACTGCAATACAAATATTGGAGAAAATCGACGGGATCAAACTGTAGGTCCTTATGGTCTTGGACAACCTAATTATCGAGGACAGAAATTCTATAAATTTTGTAAAGATAGCGACATGGTCATTGCAAAGACATGGTATAAACTACCCAAGAGACGACTATATACTTGGAAAGCCCCATTTAATGATATAAGCAACCTTGGGTCTTTAAGGAACCAAATAGATTATATACTTGTAAGTGAGATATCTTGAAATTGATGGAGCAAAGTCGACTTTTAAAGGCGAATGAAACAGAATTTAGATATCTACAGAGAAGGATTAAAAGTGAGATAAAATTAGAAAAAGAAAGATGGATGAGAGAAAGGTGCGAGGAAATTCAGGATGTGATATCTAGGCACGACTTTTTTAATGTGCACAAAAAAGTAAAAAAGATAAGCAACGTATTTATAAAAAGAGTGTCCTCTGTACTAGTTGACAATAACAACAAAATGGTTGTTAATGAGAGCGAAATAAGAAAAGAATGGCAACTGTATATAAAAGACTTGTTTGAAGATGACAGAAATACTATTAGACAGAAATTATGGGATCAGAGGTAGAAAGGGCTTTAAAATGCTAAAATTAGGAAAGCTTGTGGTTCAGATGATACACCAAGTGAGTTGCTGTATTGCTATAGTTATATACACATCGGTGGTATGGTGGCCAAAGGTCAAAAGAGTCATCCTCAAAATAAGCAAGTATTGCTTGCCTTGGATTCACAGCTGTTCTAAGGGATGCTTCAGCAGCATTTATGAAGACCCAACTAGATCTACCTCTATTGCACATCGTTATAAGAGGATGGTAAAAATGAAATATTATAGACTGTGAAATCCTGAGCAATATAATAGTTAAATCAGGACAAAGTGCATCCTTAATGAATTTAAAGACACCAAATAGGTAAGATTACCACGAGAGCTTTCGAATTGAAGCAAATCAATACAATGAACGAAAATTAATTACTATTTAACTGGGAATAAGCCACAATTAAAGATAAAAAAATACGTTTATTGACGTTTCAATTTCCACTTCGGAAATAGTTCTCAAAATACAAACAGTAAATTAAACAAATTTTGTTTTTTGTTACATGGTGAAAAATTCTTCTAATAATTATATCTCATTTTATCTTAATTTTATCATTTATATTGACAATTCAGATATACATTATGCATTTTAAAGTAGACGACTTTAAAATGATATTGCCAATATTGTTGAGTTGCGCTCCTGGGACGACTTTACTTATAAGATAGTTCATTCGATTACATGAAATCTTCTTTAACTTGAGAATATCCGTCAGAAAAAAAAATCATAGCATGTAATTCGTCTTTAAAAACAAACACATGACATGATGACAGTAAAATTCTCCTGTTAGTGATTCCATAGTAAATTATGAGGAAAAAACCAGGAAAAAACCTCATAATACTATCCCGACATGGTAAGTATTTGTTTGTGCATTTAGTTTACCTTGAATAAACACCAAAATTCTGATTTTATATGTTTCGTTATTTAAAAA